GTTTTAGAGGTAATAAGAAACTGTTTTGAGTACAAGTACCTAATTTATAAAATTTAAAAAAAAAAAAAAGAAAAAAAAAAAAAAAAAAAAAATAATCAAATAATCGTAAAAAGAGATAAAAATAAATTAGTATTTTTGTGAATTTAAGTTTAGATTAAATTATAAAACTTACTTGAATTATGACCCCTTCTTCTACACTTTGAACAAGGCATTTTGGTTTTGATTTTTTAATTATTTTTTTTCGAAAAAAATTTTATAAAAAATATAAAAAGATATTTTTATTTATTTATTTTAAATAAATTTATATTATTACTTCTCTTAATTAAAGCTTTAAGGAAAAAAATAAAAAAAAAAACAATTTTTTTTTTTTTAAAAACAATTTTTAAAAAACTTTTTTTTTTTTTTTTTTTTTTTATTTTATTTTTTTTATTTTTTTTATTTTTTTAGGAATTTACTAAATAAATAATTAAATACTTTTTAACTTTTGAATTAATTTAACTTTTTTTTATTTATATTTTATTTCTAATTTTTATTGCTTATGAATAATTAAATTAAATGAATTGAAAATGAAAATTAAATAGGTTAAATAGTTTTTTCTTTTTTTTTTTTTTGAAAAATGGCCCCCTTTTATTTTGTTTTTTTTGTATTAATTTGATTATTATTATTATTATTATTTTTTTATGTAAATATGTAATTGTTATAATTATTATTAATGAAAAAAAAAAAATAAAAAAAAATAAAATTTGTTTTTATAATTTATTTAAGTTTTTTATTTGTTGAAAAAATTTTATATTATTAATTGTTTTTTGTAACAGATTGTGTGTTTTTGTTAAAAATTATTTTGTGTGTTGGTGTTTGCCCCTGGTAATGGGATTAAGTGTGTGTAAATTAGTGTGTTGGACCAAGTAAAAAATAAAATTATAGTATTCTCTTTATGAAAGATTTAGTATGTTAATTTATTATTAAATAAAAAAGTTTATTGAATAATATTTTAATTTAATTTAATTTATATTTTTTATTTTTTATTTTTTATTTTTTTTATTTTAGATTGATTGGTATATGGTTTTTTTTTTTTTTTTTTTTAAAATATGTTGCGATTATTTGATATTAAATGTATAAAAAAAGAAAGTAATTATTTTATTTTTTTTTTTTCAATAAGCATACACAAAATATTAAAAATTTAAATTTTTTTTATCTTTAAAGTAATAATTATTTATAGAATCTTAAAAATCTTCACCATCCCCCACAACTGCACCCATTCTTATTAATTATTCATTAAATTTTATATTTTTATTAATACTTTTTTTAATTTGTTTTACAAAAAAAAAAAAAAAAAACAATTTAATTTATTTGTTATTTTTTAATTTTAATAATTTTTCGGTTTGATGAATTAAATTAAAGTTTAATTTAATAAGTAAAAGTAATTGTTTGAAACCATTTTCGTTGAATTGAATAATTGGAGAATTTGAAAATGTATAACGTGAGGCTTCATCTAAATATTTTTCTTGAAAATAAATTGGTACGATTGGTTTACCTCTATTTTCGGCTAATGAGATTTCATCTCTAATAAGTGGAGAAAAATCAGACTCTGAAATAATTATAATTACAACCCAGCTTGAAATTACTTTTTTCTCTCTTGGTACAATTACTATACCATTATCTTGAAGGAATTGAAAGAGTGGTTCAAATTGTTTATATTTATTTGGATCGAATGAGATGAAAACAGATTCAGAACCACTAATGGAGAGTGCTGATGTATCATCTAATTTGCTATCGACATCTTCATCATCATTTGCACTGCTAGTTTTTGTTTCGTTTGCAAAGATATTGTATATACCATCCATTAAAATAGAGAATGAATCGTTGTAAATATCATAGGTTGAGAAATCTACCAATTGAGAACGGAAAATACAAGATTCTAATGATGGGTCTTTAATTGGAGTTTTTTCAGCCCAAATCGAAATCATTGGTTGTTTGGATACATGATTTAATAAATAGTTAGTATGGAATGCACTTGAGAGGGATGATTTTGATACACAAAAAATGTAGCCATAACATTCAGTTTTTTGATTTTCAAATTCGATGAGGCAACAAGAGATGTAATTCTCTTCTAGGGAAGCTTTTAAACCATTGGCCAAATTGATATTTTCACCGGTATAAACGATACCAATTTCATAGATTCTGTAATTTTTCTTGATGTAAAACGATTCCTTCTTATCCAAAAGGTCAAATGGTCTTTCAGAGTTTTTATTTCTCAAACGATGACTTGCACCACATTTAATTGCTATTTCAAATTCATCGATTTTTCCTTGTTTTGCGAAATGGTGAAGACAGTTGTCACCATCTTTGGTGATAAAGTTAATTGGTGATTTGAATCTCTTGAGTGGCCACTCTAAAATACTGGCATCATAAAAGAACGGTGGTAAACCCTCGTCATTAAGTTCTGTTAAATTGGGACCAAGGTATTCCTGGTTGTTTTGAGAGCCATCTAACAATTGAACTTCTTGTGAACTGTAGCTATATTTTTTCTTTGCTAAAAGGTGAGTAATTGTGTCACCATTATGATCTCTATATGATATATATTTCTTTGTATAGTGTGATAGATGCTTGTTATCCATATGGCTAATGATATTTGCTTTTTTGGTCCAAAGTAATTGTGCTAAAAAGCTTGGAAAGTTATCATACAATAAAGCACTATGATAGGAGCCTGTACTGACTTGAGCGGGATACCCAGTAATTAGTTTGCTTTTAGAGATAGGAAGAGTATCTATATGCTGGTCCTCTTCTGAACCGGATTGACCATAACGATTCCAACCAAAGGCCCATACTTCTTTATTTGAGGTTCTGGCAATAATATGTTTACCACAATCAGAGGAGCAGTCAAAATCAACAACATTGTCCATAAAGTGTTTTGGTGTATTTGAAGAATATTCTCTAACGAAGGTACCCCAAATATATAGTTGATTATTTTGAGTAACGGCAGAGGTGTAGTCGCCACCACAACGTACCTTTTTAAATTGCTGAAAGCCTTTAATTTTGATAGAGGTTGGTTTTCTTTCTGGAAACGATGTGCCGGTACCTAATTGATATTCATCATTACATCCCCAGGTATAAAGTTCTCCATTGGTATCAACGGCTGCCATATGTCTATCTCCAATTGAAAAATCTGAAATTTGAACATGCTGAGAAAAGAATGGTACCAATTGTGGTGTATATTGATCAACAGTTGTTTCGATACCCAATTGACTGTATTTATTATAACCCCATGTAAGTAAAGAGCCATTACTTAAAACACATCCACTTGATGCACCACCAGCATGAACACTAACAGCAAAAACTCCAGTGGCTAGTGGTCTAAGGTTAACATTGGCTGGTTTTAATTGTGATGATGTTTTACCTAATCCTAAACGACCTAATGATGCGCTGCCCCATGTGAAAACTCTTTTTTCGCGATCTAATACAATTGTATGATCATTTCCACACTCGATATCTACCACGCCATACAAAGAATAGACTTCTTCTGGAGTTCTAACATCTTCAGTATGTCCAATACCTAGTTTACCAAAACTACCATTACCAAATGTAAAAACTTTACCTTCAGTTGTAATGAACCCAGTATGCTGTACACCACATGATACCTTCTTAACAGTATACCCCATTAATGGCATTGGTACAGAAGTATAATTATCTTGGTTATAAATAACTTCTTTACCTTCAATTTCTGTACCTAATTGACCATGTGAGTTTTTACCAAATAACATTAAAAAATTCTCTTGATACAAAGCCATTTTATAATTTACATAAATATTGATTTTTTATTTTTATTATTATTTTAGATATTTTTTTAATGTGTATTTGTGTTTATGTGGTTTTGTTATTACAAAGTTATTTATTTACAAAATATATAAATAAGAAGTGAAGGTGTTTTTCACAAATGAGGGAAAAAAAAAGAAAAAAAAAAAAAAAAAGAAAACTAAACAAGCTGTAATCTTGATTTATTTCCAAAACTACATAACTTTGTAATTAAGAAATATTTCTTAAAAAAAAAATTAAAAATTTTGTTAAAAATCTAAAAAAAAAAAAAAAAATAAAATTTAAAACTTTAAATTTTTTTTTAAAATTTAATTTTTTTAATTATTTTAATTATTTTAATTTATTTATGTTTTTGGTATTTTAGTTACTAAAATGAAATAAACAGTTTATTTTTAGATTGAGCTTTTAAAGAGAAATTTTTATTTCTTTTATTTATTTGAATATATAATTATTTATTGGAAATTATTTTTTTTAAAAAAAAATTAAAAAAAATTAAGAAAATTTTCATTTTTATTTTTAAATTTTTATTTTTTTTAACAGCAATAATTCATACCAACACATTGCAAAATAGCTTATCTTTTTTTTGATTATATATTATAAATTTTTATTGTATAGTTTCTTTTAAAAAAGATGTCAACTAAAATTACAGATTTTTTTACAGTAGTTAGCAAAAAAGAAGAAAAGGTAAAGGAAAAAGAAAAAGAACAAGATTTAGATTCATCAGAGACTGAAAATGAAGAAGAGAAAAAAAAGAAATTACCCACCAAAAAAACAACTCCCAAAAAATCACCCTCTGAAAAAGAAGAGGTAGAGGAGAAAAAAGAAAAAAAAGAAAGTTCAAAAAAAAGAAAATCACCTGAACCAGATGAAACTACAGAAGAAGAGGGTTGTGAAAACCAAGATGATGAGAAAGAAATTAAAAAGAATAAAGTTGAAGTTACCGATTCAAATTATTATGATGATATTGAATCATATATTTCAGATGTCAATTGGAAGAATGCTCTTCAAGATGAATTCAAGAAAACATATTTTAAAAATTTAATTTCAAGTTTAAATAAAGTTAAAAAAGAAAATAAGAAGCCAATATATCCACCAAAAGATGAAGTTTTTTCAGCATTCAACTATACACCTTTAAAAGATGTCAAAGTTGTTATTATTGGTCAAGATCCTTACCATGGAAAAGGTCAAGCCCATGGTCTTTCATTTTCTGTTAAACCAGGGGTTTCACCACCACCATCATTAATCAACATCTATAAAGAATTAGTTCAAGATTGCCCACCATTCAAACAACCATTAAAAAATGGTTTCCTTGAACCATGGGCCAAACAAGGTGTATTTTTATTAAATGCTGCTTTAACTGTCGAGGAATCCACTCCAAATTCTCACAAAGATTTTGGTTGGTATCAATTTACCGATGCTGTATTAAAGTAATCTATTCAATTATATTATTATTATTATGACTAGTATTATACGTATAATGACTAACTCTTTAATTTTTTTTTAGAATTTTAAATGAACAACCACAACCAATCGTATTTATTTTATGGGGTGGTTTTGCAAAAAAGAAAAAGAGTATTCTTAAAGGAAAACATCATTTCATTTTAGAATCAGGCCATCCATCACCATTATCGGTTACCCACTTCAAAGGTTGCAAACATTTTTCAAAAACAAATGAGTTTTTAGAATCAAAAAATATTGAAAAAATCGATTGGACCATCAAACCATAATAAAAATAATAAATAAAACTTTTTTTTTTTTTTTTAATATTTTCATTTTATTTTATTTTTATATTTTACTGCATTTTTATTTTTTTTTATTTTTTTAATATTGTGTTTTTACAAAAAATAAAAAAACCTCTAATTTTAGAACAAAGCTCATCGTTATTTTTTAATTCAATGGTTTCATTACTTTGAATAATAAGTTATTTTTTTATTTTACAATCCTTATGTAATTCAGTTGATTGGGTATCTAAAAAAGTAAAAAAGAAAACCAAAAGAAAAAATTTATTGGTTTTTTTATCAAAAGCCACCATCACCAAAAAAAAAAAAAAACAAAAAGATTTTTATTTTAAAAAAAAAATAAAAAATAAAAAAAAAAATAAAGATATTTTTTTAAAAAAGAAAAAAAAAGATTTTTTTTATAAATAAAATTTTTTTTAAAATTAATATTATTGATTAAAAAAAAAAAAAAAAAAAAAAAAAAAAAAAATTTTTTAACTTAACAAAAAATATAATTAAGCAACCAATACCAATAACATCAAATTTTAAATTTGTGTGTCTCTGTGTGTGTGATTATTTTTCAAATAAATACAAATATACAAATTAATAAAAATTAAAATTTTTTTCCAAACACACATTATCATAAATTTTAAAATTATTTTAATTTAAATTAAAATCAAATTGTTGTTATTGTTTTATTTGTTTGTTGTTTTTTTTTGTTTAAAATAAAATAATAAAATAATAAAATATAGACTATAAAAATAATAAAATAATAAAAATAAAAAAGAATTTTGTAATATAAACTGTAAATTAACAAAAAATGTCAAACCCAGTATGTGTAAGTGTCTATTTATTATATATCTTTATTATTTTTTATTTTATTTTTTTCTTTATTTTTTATTGGAGTGTGGAAAAAATAAATTTTTAATATTTGCTGATTGTGATTTTTAAATCAACTTTTTTTTTTAAAAAAAAATTATTAATACAAATTTTTGATTTTTTTTTTTAAAAAAATTTAGATAAATAATACTGGAGTAAATAGTTTAAATGGGGAGTCAGTATCACCAAATAATAGATTGGGATGTTCCCCAAACTCACCTGTATCAAAACCATCATGTATGTATTTTTAATAATATATTAATCAATAACAATAGTTAAATTAATTTTTTTTTTTGTGATTATTTCATTTTTTTTTTTTTTAATTAAATAGCATTTGATTTAAATGGTAAAAAAACTACAAAAAGCAATGTTGTAAAATATATTTTAAGTAGAAATGGGTCAAGTAATAGTTTAATGGGAAAGAAAAGAGGTAGTGGCAGTGATGCTGAAGATGAAGTTAGCAGTACACCAGATTCACCAAAGCTATTTCGTGATAAAGAACATAGCAGTAGTATTGGTAGCAATTCAAGTTTAGATGGGTCAGTAGGAAGGGGATCATTAAGTGGTAGTTTAGGTATCAAAAAGAATGGAAGTAATTTATCAGTGAGTACAAATATAAATAATAATGATGGTGCTAATGTTATCGACAGATCGCTTTGGACAGTAAAGTCTTTAAAAGAGCATCCACAAATTTTAGATATAATGGAAAGAGTTAAACCAGTAAATAGAGCAGTTTCATTTGGTCAAATCTATGCTTCTGAAGAGACCCAGTTCGAATTTGATCCATTGATTGGCAAAGAAAATATTTTACAACTAATTCTTCAACATTTGCAATTCGAAGGCTTATTGAACTCTAAAAAAGTTATGGAAGAAGAGGCTAGAATTAATTATCCAGAGTATGCAATCAATGAAAGTAGACTAGTAACTCTACTTAGGGCTGCATTAAAAGATTCCGATAAAGTATTTGAGTTAGCTATGGATAATAAATTGGAAAAAGAAGCTTCAATGCAACAATTGGAAGAGCATTTAACATTTTTAGGTTTATTTAAGGATGGTAATATAAATTCATTTTAAATTACAGAAATATTTTAATAATAATATTAATTTTTAATAATTTTTTTTTAAAATAGAATCACAAAATACAAATGTACAAGATATAAATATTTATGATGAACCAGAAACAAATATTATTTATTTTGAAGAAAAAGATAAGGATAGTTCCAATAATACTAATAATAGCAAAGAGTCACCAACATTAAATGGATCAGGATTGTCACAAAGCTCTATTGGGCTATCATCTTCAATGTCGCAACAACAAATTCAACAATTACAATCTCATAATTCATCTCAACAAGCACCATCCACTCCACCACCAAGCAAATCATCGTCATCATCATCGTCAACAGCAGCTTCAACTGGACCACAGGTTAAAGCAGCTTCATTAAATATATTAGTTACTCTATTGACACCAGAAAACAATCATGATTTAGAATATACCAAAACTTTTCTTCTTACATATCAATCATTTACCACCCCAGAAATGTTATTGCAAAAATTAATTCAACGTTATCACGTTCCACAAAAACCAGGCCAATCTGTCGAAGCATGGAGACAAAGATCAACTCATATTCAGCTTCGTGTAGTTAATGTGCTCAAAACATGGATCAAAGATTACTTTTCAGATTTTAGTGAAAAACTTGTCCAGGCCATTAAAACCCTCTTGGAGAGTATGAGACATTCTGGTAATACACCTTATGCTAAAGTTATTTCCGATGCATTAAACTCTGGTCTTAAAAAGAGTGGTCGTAACAATACAGTATTCACAGTATCAGCACCCGAACCCAAAGTACCAAAGAACATTTGGTCACATCAATTAGATATCTTTTCAGTGGATGAAGAGGAAATCTCTAGACAGTTGACATTGATGGACTTTGAAATCTTTTCAAATATTAAAGCCACTGAACTTTTAAATCAATCATGGAACAAACCTAAATTACGTCATCGTTCACCAAATGTATTATCATTAATCGCAAGATTTAATGAAATATCAGAATGGACAGCTTCATCCATTTTATCATACGAAAGGGTTAAAGATAGAGCAAGAATCATGGCAAAATTTATAAAGATTGCAGAATATTGTATGAAATCACTCAATAATTTTAACACATCCATGGCCATTCTCTCTGGTTTGAATGCATCCTCAATTCACAGATTAAAATTCACCAAAGAAGAAATGCCAAAACATACCATGCAAGTTTATCAAGATTTACAACAACAACTTTCCAGTGCCCAAGCCTATAAAGAATATCGTGCCCTTTTAGCTAAATCAAATCCACCTTGTTTACCATATCTTGGCGTTTATTTAACTGATTTAACTTTCTTTGAGGATGGTAATCCAGATTTTATTCAAGGTTTCATTAATTTTGGTAAAAGAAAGCTTATTTATGGTTCAATTTCAAATGTTCAAAGTTTCCAAAATACAAAATACAATTTACAACCAGTTTATCAAATAGCTAAATTATTAACAGGTTTCAAATTATTAAACGAAAATGAACTTTATTCAAGATCGATGACCTATGAACCAAGAAATAAAGAACGTAGTGAAATTTTATAAATACATTAATTTAATAAAAACAACTATTTAATTATTTAACAAAAAAAAACATTTTAAAATTATGTTGCTTCGTAATTAAATAAAAAAGGTTTTAGTTTAAATATAATGTGATTGTTTGAAAATAAAATTTTTTTTTTTTTTTTTTTTTTTTTTTTTTTTTTAAAATTTTTTTTTGAATTAAAAAAAAAAATTAAAATTTTTTTTACAAATTGTTATCATATGACACCATCCAATCAAAAATAAAGATGAAACAATATCCAATTATTATATATCCAGATAATAACATTACAATTCTTTTATTTAAAAATGTTGAAAACAGTAAAGAGATCAAAGAGTTAATTACAAATAACCAAATGGAATGTGCAATTGCAAACTGTAAACCAATTTATGATCATCAACAAATACTAATTGCAGCAACAAGATCAATTGGATGTTTACTCGAAGCTAAAAAGCCAAACTATAATATAAACAAAGATATAATTAATAGATTGTCACCCTCTGGAAACGTAATTATTATTGATTATTAATTAATTATCATTACTACTTACTAACTAACCTTTTTATTCTACGAATCAGTATACAGAGGCATTTAATAATTTCGGTTTAAATAGTGACGATAAAGAGTTTTTTGTATTTTTATTTAATGCATCAGAAGATAAAATTAAAAAAATAAGAGAAGTTATTAAAGGTGAAGAAGTTGATATTTCAAACAACACTATAAATCCATTTTTTGATGTTGAAAGTGCCAAAAAAGTAAATATTTTCTAAATAAAAATAAAAAGAAAACCAATAATAGCTTTGATTGTACTAATCATCCTTCTTTAGTTATATAAAATTACAGAATCAGATTTACCAACTAATTTAGAACAAAATGACGAATTCTTTGAAAAATTAAAAAGATTAATTATTAATAATATGGCCATTAAAGGTTTATTGTAAATTTAGAAAAAATAAAAATATATTATTTTAATTTTATATCATTCTCAAAATTAATAATTTTCAATGCTGTAATAACGATAATTTTTTTTCGATATTTTATGGTGTAATAAAATGGGAATTAACTCTTGAATCATTTCCTTTTCAATATATTTCATTAAAAAAAAAAAAAAAAAAAAGATTTTTTTTAATTTTTTTAAAATTTTTTTTAAAAAAAAAAATTATTTTTTGGTTACATTTTTTTAAAATTTTTATTTTTTTTATTATTGTTATTATATATAATATATAATAAATATATTATTAAATAAAACTATTGATATTTATATATATATTATTTTCATTTAGTTTATAGTTTTATTTAATTTATTTATTTATTTATTTTGTTTTTTTTTTATATATTTATATTTACGAAATAATAATACATCAGATCACATCACATTATATTTAATAACAATGTCTTTGGTAAATAAACATTTAGTACCAGAGATATTTAGATTTTCAGCTAAGGTTCAATTAGCAGAAACTATTAGTTATATTTCACCAGTACCAATTGAAAGTGTTGATATATTAATACAATCATGTTTATCATTATTACCAAATCAACAATATAAAGATGTCCAACCAAACGACCCATCAATTAAAAAGATATTTGATTTAAACCCAACTATATTATCAACAATGATTGTGAGTTTTAAAATAAATAAAAAAAAAAAAAATAAAATGTCATCATATTAATTATTTTCTTTTAAATTTAAACAGAGTATTAGAGCACAAGAATCGGTAATAGCGTTAGCACATTTTTTCAAATGCTCAAATGGGGTAGCAGATAAAAGAGTTATACCAATTTTAAAATCATTTTTAATGTATCTTACCTATTTTGGAGGCGCCAATAATAGTAATATCAATACAAGTAATACTAGCAATACCAGTAGTAGTAATAGTGGTAGCAATCCAATATTTTCACAGTCAAATGGATTATCACCAATTAGTGGATTACATCAAAACGATTTACAAAATTCACAAAGTTTTACATATTATCTTTTAAATCAATTATCAATTCTTTCAAATATTTCAAATGAATTAAGAGATGATATTGTTCCAACATTTCTCCATTTTTTTGACCAAATTATAAAGAATGAACAAAATCCAATTATTCTTGGAACTCTTCAAGCATTAAGTGATAAAAACAATAGTTTTGATTTCTCCCAAGAGCAATTATTAAAGGTTATTGAAAACATCGAAAATATCATCGAAGCAGCCACTCAAAAGAAAACATTATTACTCGTTTGTCAAGCTCTCGAACAAATAACTTATTTACCAGCTGTTGATCAAGATATTTATAAAAGAATTTATAGAGATATTTTCCCATATACTTCAACATTACCAACTGATAATGAAGCTTTTATTTCAATCATTGTAAATAGATAAAATTTTATTATTATTATAAAACTAAATACTAATATTTTTTTCTTTTTTTATAAAGAATGTTATTGTAAGATGTGGTAAATTAAATTCAAATATTGGAAAAGAGGTTTTAGATTTTTTAATTAGATTTATGTCAGAAATTAAAAATTTAACAGATAATGAGACTTCAGCATCATTAAACAAAGCATTTAGTGAACAGCTTTATCAAACAGTATTATTATCATTTGTGGAAATTGCAGATATTTATTCAGATAAAACATTAAAGGTGGTAGATGTACTTAAAGAATTTTTAGTCTCATCAAATATAATCAAAAATAATGAAGAAACTAGAAATAATTTATTTAGTTGTATTTGTACAATTTTAAAGAACGAGTATAAAAAAGAAAGAGGTGTTGAAGTTTGCAAAACTATTATAACCTCTTTATTAAATTCATTACACACACAATATACAAATTATAAAAATTCATCAATTTCCGAACCATTCAACACTCCAACCTCCTCTTCATCAACTTTATCAAACTCCTCTTCAAAATCACCACCTTTGTATTCAAACCCAACTTTATTTTCACTTTCAAATATAATTATTGTTTTGGGTAAAATTACATGTACATTAAATGATCCAATGGTAAGTTAATATTAATATTATTTATTCAATTTATTTATAAAAATTATAGTGTATTAATTCCCACTTTTTTTTTTTTTTTAGATTATTGAAATTATATTACAAAATTTTATGAGCAGAGTTTCTAGTTTTTATCCACCAAGCCAAATTGAAAATTTAATAATATTCCAATTAACAGATATTGCATTGTTAGAACATCAAAATGTTACCAAGGATATTGTTGTTTTGATTACAAATTTATTTAAAAAGATTTGTAAAGACCCAAATCAAGGTTTAATCAGTAACATCACCGATAAAGCATTAGAAAAACTTGCCAAACATCTTACCAATGAAGAATTACGTTTAGATCTTTGTAGAAGAGTTTTGAAATTGTTCCAACAATTAGGTAAAAGTTTCAGAAGACCAGATGGTCGAGAAGGAAAAGACAATAGCAGCGATCCAAATAATTACTATATTACATCACCAATTTTAAAGGGTATGGGTTTCTTATTACCAACCATTGCCGAGTTAATTAAAGTTATACCAATTAAATTTAATACAAATGATATCCCACCAGCAGAACCTGCCAATCCTTCATTACCAACATCCCCAACCAATACCAATAGTAACACTGCATCAGAAATTGAAAATATCTCATCAATTAAATTATATCGTTCAGTTTGGTTTTATTGTGTATTCTTCAAGTTCTCAATCCAAGGTGTTTGGAGAAGTGATTGGTGGAATTCAGTACAAATTATTGCTGCTCATTTATCACCATTAATTTCAACTAAACCACATATTTATTTAGAAATGGAAGTTGAATTGGATAGTATTATTAAGCAAGGTTTAGAAAAAGATTACTTTTATAACGTTAAAACTTCATTAATCGAAGCTCTTCCAAACCATTCAGCCTATATCAAGAATCTCAGTTTGCCACAATTGGCCTTTATCCATTCAGTTTATATATTAGAAACTATGAGATTTGCTGTATCTGGATCGTTTGAACCCGCTTTCTCTTATTTGGAAGATCAAGGTATTGAAAATATTAATGTAACTTCCAGTATTCGTGGTATTGTCGATAAAGTATTTGCAGATTTCCTCACCGGATATGGTTCTATTTCAAACTTTATTACTATCGAACAAGAATTAAGCGCCCACGCATCTTTTCTTTTAATTAAATTCTGTTATCCATACGAACCTGTTCGTAAAGCCGCTGACGATTATATTTCAACCTTGGTTACTAAATTCCCTCAGGTTCTTTGGTCAAAACAATGCTTGTCAACTCTTTTAGATTTAATTGAAGCAATTGGTAAAGGTGCTAAAGCTAAGCCAATGGATATGATCTCTGTTCAAATGTCTCACTCTCAAATTACTATTGAACTTCCAGATGAAACCCCGGTTCGTCAAAGATTACTTTCAGATATTATCGCTCTTGGTAACATTTGGTTAAAGAGTGGTGCAAATGCTGCTCCTTCCGAAATTCAAGAACTCTTACAAGAATATATGCAAAAATTCAATCAATTAAAGAGAGAACATATAGGTTTATCATTGGCCGTCGAAATTGGTGCTAATGCTGATATCAACTCTGATAAATTGGTTTCTGGTAACCATGACAATATTCAAGTCGCTGCAGCTTCAAATCAAAATGGATCCGCTTTCCCAACCTGCTTTAATTCAAATGCTGCAAATTTTGTAAACTCACTTCAATTAAAAGCATTATACAGCGGTGAAATTAAAGGTATGATCAATATGATGGCAATGTCTATGGGTGTAAATACTTGTAATAATAATGGTGATATTGAAGACGAAGAATTATCAGAAGAAATTGAAAATAGAGCATATGACAGTTTAGTCAAAGAATTTGAAAGTCTTATTCAATTAGCTCATAAAAATAGTTTACCAGTAAACAATATGGCATTTATTTCAATTATGTATCGTTCATGTGCATTCTTAATCAACCACTATTTTGGTTCAAGCATTAGATTAATTCATATGGTTTGTTATGCCCCAGCCTATTTCTTTACTGCTGAATCTATGGAAATTGGTATTGGTTGTTGGAAATGGCTTTTAACCGAACGTCCAGATCTTACAAAATTCATCATGACCTCAATTAGCGACATTTGGGCATGGACAGTCAACCAAAGAATTGGTTTGTTTGCAAACAATGAAAGAGAGCCAAGTCCATTAGCTATTTCTGGTCAACAACAATCAATGGATCAACAACAAGTAACTGAAATTTTATCAGATAAACACGATATCAATATCGAAGAACAACAACACTTTGAAAATGATAAAAACAAATATATTAGACAATTTAAACCACCACAATCAATTGATAAAACAAGTGATATTCCACATAAAATTTGGTTAGATTTCCTTGAAGAAAGATATTCAGTTGCAAAATATGGCTCACAAGATCAAATGGATATTATTATTGGTATTCTTCAAAAATCAATTATGGATCCAGATGGTTTAAGTGTTTCACCAAAGAGCTTAGGCTCTCGTTTCAAATTATTATTACTCTGTACAAAATTACTTCAAGGTGATCATATTCATGACCCATTCAGTGCTCGTTTAATGCGTGAAAGAGTTTATTTAGCATCTTTAACTTGGTTCTACTTACCACCAGCTTGGTATGGCCCAGCAGAAGCAGGCAGCCAAAGCCAATTGGAAATTGATACTAAAACTTTAATCGAGTTTTGCAAAGCCCTTCAATCCGAACCAATTTATCAATTTATGGAAAAAAGATTCACCTTTAGTAGTAAGAATAGCAATAGCAGTGGTAATAATATTTCCTTACAAAATGCCATCAATGCTGCTGGTAATGGAAGTGATCGTTCAAATAGTGTCAGCGCCCCAATGTATGCTTCAATCAGAGGTAATAAAACAAATAGTATCACAATGTCAAACTCCAACTCTTTCCATGGTATTGATCAATCAAATGGATCGATCACCTCTGCATCAGGTATTAACCAATTAAACTCAAGTAATATTGGTAACACTGCCAGTGGATATAGTACTGCAAATTCTACTCCAAACAATCCATTAATTTATGGATCTGGTGGTTTCAGTATGCATAACTATGGTAGTGGTATTGGTGTAGGTATTAGCTCATCAATGATCAACGGTAGCACTGGTTATCAACCATCATCAAATCGTAGTAGTGGCCTAAAACAAATTAATGAAACTGGTTCAGCTACCTCCTCATCATTTGATATTAATGGTGATATGGAATATATTTCAAGTGGTTCAACTAGAATGATTGATGTTGCTGGTAGCGGTGTTGGTACAATGACATCATTAGTTGGTCAACAAATTTCACAAACATTACTTTTAGACTCAATGAAACCATTGGAAAATAACAAACCAGCAATGACAGAAGCTCATCTCATCGAATTAAAAAAGAGAAGAAATCTTATTCTTTTATTAGTTGGTAACGAATTAGAACGTATGTCAGCATGGAACTCACCAGTAAGTCGAATTTCAACACAAATTCCAGAACAAACCAAATTTGTTTATGAAAATCTTCCAAAATCAATGAAATCAAAATGGAAGGATTATTTAATCTCTGCTTGGAAAATCAATCCAAAATTAGCAATCCATTTTTCATCAAGATTCCCACTATCTAAAATTCGTAATCTTATTAGTGAAATGGTAGTAAAGAATACAAAAGCTGTACTCGATATTCCAGAAGCTCTTCCATTTTTAGTTACCGAAGAAAATGTAAAAGCTAATATTCCAGAATTAAAATACCTTTTATATTGGGAAACCGTTACACCACCAATGGCTATCTCTCTTTTAGGTAAATCCTATCACTCTCACCCATTGGTTTCACAATATGCATGTCGTGTACTTCGTTCATTCCCACCTGAAACCATTATGTTTTACATTCCCCAATTAGTACAAGCTCTTCGTTATGATAGATCTGGTCAAGTTGAAAACTATTTAGTATCAGCCTCAAAAACTTCAGAATTATTAGCACATCAAATTATTTGGAACATTCAAACCTACACTGAGCCAGATCCAAATGGTAGAATTATATTAGATGACCCACTTATTCAATCAGTTTCAAAACGTCTTAAAGATCGTGTTATTGATGAAATGCAAGACTCTGAAAAGATTTATAATAACTATAAAGAAGAATTTGCTTTCTTTGAATCATTTACCGCTATTTCAGGTCGTCTTTTACAGTTAAAAGATCCATCAAAGAGAAAAGGTCAATTAAAAGATGAGTTAAGAATGTTAACAGTAAACAACAATGGCTCACCACTATACATGCCAACAAATCCAAAATCATTAGTTGTTGGTTTAGAAGTTGATAGTGCTATGACCCTTCAATCTGCTGCCAAAGTACCAATTTTAGTAAACTTTAAAGTCGTTGAAAGAGCATTACCAACTCCAACAAGTAATTTATCCCATGTTAGATCACCACCACCAAGTGGCTCACCACCAATTGAAAATACCTCACATGTTGATCCAATAGGAGGATCAGCAACCAGTAGCATTGGTAGCAACCAATTAACAATACCAAACAATAAGAATCATAAGAACCATTTAGCAAACTCTTCATCAATACTTAGAGAATCAAGTAGGGCTCTTAGAAAGAATATTTCTAAAAAAGTTACTCAAGACCAACCAAGCCAGTCCAACATAGTTCATATCCAAGGTTGTATCTTTAAATCTGGTGATGATATTAGACAAGATATGTTAGCCCTTCAAATTATTGATATCTTTAAGCGTATTTTCAAGAGTGTAGGTTTAGATCTATATTTATTCCCATACAAAGCTATTGCAACCAAGCCAGGTTGTGGTATGATTGAATTGGTACCCAACACAATGTCCAGAGATCAAATTGGTAAAAAGGTTAATGGTAATCTTTACAATTACTTTATTTCAAAATATGGTAATAAAAATTCAATTGGCTTCCAAAATGCACGTAGAAACTTCATAAAATCAATGGCCGCCTACTCTGTTGTCAGTTATATCCTTCAAATTAAAGATCGTCACAATGCTAACATTTTAGTAGATGAAGAGGGTCATATTGTTCACATCGATTTTGGTTTCATATTTGATATCTCTCCAGGTGGTGATATGATTACTTTTGAAGCCTCTCCATTCAAAATGAATCAAGAGATGATTGATATTATGGGTGGAAAACCAAATGCAGAACAATTTGTTTGGTTCATGGAGCAAAGTGTAAGAGCATTTTTAGCAGCACGTCAACATATGGACTCAATTATTACTTTAGTAGAATTAATGTTAGATACCAAATTACCATGTTTCAAAGATCAAACTATTCATAATCTTCGTCAAAGATTTTGTCCAAATAAGAGCGAAACCTATGCCGCCAAGTTTATGAGCAAAATTGTTTTAGATTCGTTCTCTACAATCAGCACTTTTTCAACTTATTTCTATGATGTTTTCCAATATTATGATAATGGTATCGAAATGTAATAAAATAATTTATAAATAGATTTTTTATAAATTAAATAATAATTTTATAAATAAAATAAAAGTAAAAAAATCAAAACTTAAACGATTATTCAATTTTTTTTTGGTGTGTGGTGAAATTTTTTTCTGATTTATGTTTTTTTAAATAAATAATTTAGAAAACTTGGGCGGTCTATCAAGAACCAATTCATTTCTAAATTCTGCTAGGTCTTGCTAACTATAAAAACAAATTTTAAAAGATTTTTATAAATTAAAAAATGAAATTATTTTATATTTGTTTATTTAATTTTTTATTTGTTTTAAAAAAATTATAAATCAAAATTTTAAAAAAAAAAAAAAAAAATTATTCTTTGGAACAGACACACAGAAAAAAATTTTAATTTTTTTAAATATTAAAAATATTAAATTATTCTTTTATGGATAAAATTTATTTATAAATTTTAAATTAAACCCCTCAAAATTAATTATAATTGTTTCAAAAAAAATCATAAAAATTTATTTTTTTTTTATTTTTTATAATTTTTTTTTTTTTATAAATTTTTCGTTTTTAATTTTTTTTTAAAATTTTTTTTAATATATATTATCATTACCTTAATATTATATAATATTATAAATACATTATAAACTCACAGAATGTCAAAAATTTTCACTTTAGAAGAAGTTTCAAAACATAACACCAAAGAAGATTTATGGATGATTATTGATAAAAAAGTATATGATGTTACATCATTTGCTGATGATCATCCAGGTGGTGCCGAATATTTAGTCGAAAATGCAGGTAAAGATGCCACTAATGAGTTCCTCGATGTAGGTCACACTCAAAAAGCTGTAGATATGTTAAAAGACTACTATATTGGTGATTGTCCAGAATCAAAACCAACCCCAACCTCAGTTCCACAACCAATGTCTGTTCCAGTTCAATCATCATCATCATCATCATCTGAAAATAAAGAAAAGAAATCAGATGACACTAAATTAATTGTTAGTTCAATCGTTGTTGGTGTAGCTGCTGTTGCCGCTATTACTATTGGTGTAGTTTCATTCTTCAAGAAAAATTAAAATATAAAAAAAATTATATAAATTATAAAATATATTAAAAAAGAAAATAAATAAAAATTGCAAAAAAATAAAATTTAAAAATAATATTCATCTTATTGTAGTTTATTTAGTTTTATAATATTAATCATTGTTTTAAATTTGTTTTTATTTTTCAAATGAACTAACCCATTTAAAAAAAACAATCATTTTTTTAAAATTAAATTTCTATCATCATTAATTTATAAATTTTCTAAATTTATTAAATTAATGAAACATAAATTAATTTCTATCATTATTTTTATTAATAATTTCTGATTTTATTTATTTTATTTTTTCAAATATAAATATTAAATATTTTGATTGTTTATTATTAAAATTGCAGTATATTCGTTTGGTCAAACTATAGTGAAATCATATCTTTGGTGATGTATATATTCTTGGTATGAAAATATATATAAAAATATAAAGATAATCAGATACTAACCCATGGCTCAAAGATACAACCTCCCCGTGGTTGAGCTGGAAACACCTATTAAAAATCGGTGGCCAATGCTATCGAAAAAAAAAAATTTTAACATTTTAGTATTTGTTTTATTTAGGTATTATTCATCGATCCAATAGTAAAGTAGAGTTATTTTTTTTACAAAAATAAATAAATTTTAAAAAAAAGAAATAATATTATGTTTTAAAATTTTTTTATTTTTTTTAAATATTTTATTTTTATCTTTTTTTTTTATCTTTTTTTTATCTATTCTATTATTTCTTTTTTTGTTTATTCTGAAGCATCTTCGTCATCGTCGTCATCTAAACCTGGTGGTGGAGCAGAAACAACAAAAGCTGTACTTCTTCTTGAACCTAATCTTGGTAAATTGGCAAAGTCTGATTTGGAGAATTTAAATGATTCTTTTTCTTCTTCGCTTGAACTTTCATCATCCTCAGAATCTGATCCCTTACTCTTTTTCTTTGGTGCTGCTTTTTTTGGTGGTGGTGCTGATTTTTTAACTGGTGCACTCTTTTTCTTTTTCTTTCTATCTTCTTCGCTGCTGTCTGATTCAGGTTCGCTTGAAACATCACTTTCAGAATCTGAATCGCTGGCATCTGAATCATTAACTACAAAACCATCATCTTCATAGCTATCTAAATCTGATCCTGATTCTTCTTCCTCATCTCTATAGTTTTTAGCATTTAATGAAATTGAACCACCTTTACCTGCTGGTGCTTTTTTTGGAATTGTACTAGTTGGTTTCTTGTCTCCTCCAACAGCAACTCTTTTTGTATCTTTCTTTTCTAATACTTCATTTTGTTGTCTCTTTTTATTTGCTAATGCTTCTAATTTTGCTCTCTTATCTGCATCTGACATTTTTCTATGTATATATATCAAAAAATAAAATAAATATATATATTTATCGTTTTTTAAACAAAAACAAAAATAAAAAAAAAATAAAAAAAAAGAAATACAAATGGAAATAAAAAAAAAAAAAAATTTTGAAAAATTTTAAAAAAAATTTTTTAAAAAATTTTTAAAAAAATATATATATTCTAACGGTTTTATGTTTTATTTGGTTAAATATTAGATATTTAAACTATTATTTAAATAAAAATAAAAAATTTAAATTATTATTTACCTTTGGTGGAAAATATTTGAAGATCTTTTAATAATATGAGAAAATAAATTATAATTATTAGATTATTGGATCTTGGAATCTATTTTTACATTATTTATTTTAAAAATGGTTGGTTATTATATATCTATGATTCATATAAAGTTTTTACAATTATTAGAAAAAAAAGAAAAGGTAATTATTATTTTTTTATTTTAGGTGAATGTGTAGCAAATAATTATGAAAAAAAAAAAAAATTTTGAAAAAATTTTAATTTAATTTTTTTTTTTTTCATTTTTTATTATTTTAATTTATTGCAAAATCACATCACACATATAATTTATACACACAATGATAGTCAATAAAAATATAATTAAAAATTTATATAGATACAATTATTCAACAATCAGAAAATTTTCAACAAGTAATAATAATATTAATATTACCAAAAATAATAATACAGAATCAAATAACACAGTAGACCCACCAACAACAAATTATTGCCACAATTATTTTAGTAATGTTCAAAATTATAAATCGTATGATGACAATGTAAATTTAATTAAAAATATAGATGGAACCAATGAACAACAAAGAAAAGAAACATCATCATCCATTAGCAGCCAGTTTGATAAAAATGATTACAGTGGAATATTTGGCCCAATTAAAAAGCAAATGGCATATTTAACAAAAGTTGTAGAGAATGGGATCATTACATTCAGAAACGACAGGATTTATTATAAGAATAATTTATTGCCAAAAGCATCAATTTTAAAAGAATCACTTTATACCAAAGTATTTCCAACTTTTCAATATCATAATCAAGATTCATATCATTATTTAAATTTCCACGAAAGAAAAGACATAATTGCATATAGTAGGAATTGTTATACTTTGGTTTACAATTATTTTTTAATAGCTTAGATATTAATTGTTTTTTTTAATTATTATTTTTAATAGGAACTGACAGATTAACATTTATACCATTAGCAATTTTCCTTTCAATTCCATTTTCAACATTTGGTTTACCATTCTATATTAAATTTTTACCAGGGTTATTACCAAGAGGATTTTCGGAAAGAAGCCAAGTTGTTGCAAGACACGACAAAATGATGCGTTTAAGAGAACATTATTCATCAAAACTTTTGCATAAATACGAATTAGAGGAAAAGGTTGAAAAGTTATTTGGTTCTGTTAAATCTATTAGTGACATTAGTCCATTAAAGATCAAAGAATTAGATGATGAATTTATTTTGGATTTTTCAGAAATTAAAAGAAAAAGATTAAGAACCATTTGCAGATCATTGGGCGAAACTACACTTTTAAACAGCAATCAATTATTAAAAGATAAAGTTTTAGGCTTTGGACCATATATTTCAAAGGAAAGTGATGTAAGTCATAACATTTTTAATAAAACAGTAATTAACTTTAAAATATTAATATTTTTTTCATTATTATTCCCATAGCAAATTATTAAAGAAATCAATAGTTTAACTTTCGAAGATTTCCAAGATTTACTTTATGAAAGATCATTGTCATTTACAGGACTAAACTATTACGAAATGAAAGAAAAGTTTATGAAATATGCTCAATTATTGAAATCATTAGAAGCTTTGGAAACAGTTAGTGGAGATTTACAAAAAGAAGGGGCTTTATATAAAAGATTTTATAAAAGATTTATTTTATTAAATGCTATAATAATTAAATACAAACTTTAAAGTTTAATAAATAATATTTTTGTCATGACAAAAAAAAGAAATAGTTGTATAAATAAAATTTTGTATCTCTTTTAAACTTTATTGGTTTCCTTTTTTTATTTTTATTTTTATTTTTATTTTACAGTTTATTATTTGTAATTTACAAAAATTATTTTATAATACGTATAAAAGATTATATATTTATTTTGTTTTTTTATTTATTTTATATTTATTTTATATTTATTTTATATTTATTTGAAGGGATTTGTGTTTTGTTTATAACTATAACAATGATTATTACTACAGTTATTTGAATCATTGTTTTTGTTATTTTTCTGATAATTGAAACCATTTATCAAATTATTATTAAAAAATATTGTGTTATTTGGAATTATTGATCTTAGTTGAATGTTAATCCTATTTTGTTGTGGATGAATCAAAAGACAGTCATCGATGGTATATAATAACTCTTGTTTTAATGATACTGGTGTTCCTTTTAAAAGAAATCTAAACTCTAGACTATCTAGTTCTGGAATTTCCATTTCCTCGATTTCTTTTCTTAATACCTTTAAAACTTGAAAGGTTTTTACTTTTAAAAAACCAATCAATAACTGAATTCTTTCATCAAAAATTAAAATTTCTTTTTTTATTTCTTTTTCCCTTTCCTTTCCTATTAATTCCTGTGCCTGTTGCGATTGTTGTTCGGTAGTTTGTTTTTGTTGTTGTTGTGGTGGTGATGGTTGCTCAGTAATTAGTTTTTGTTGTTGTTGTTGTGTTTGTTCAGCAGTTTGCTGTTTTTCGATTTGGTTTGGTTGTGAAGAGGTTGTATAGTTATGGCTATTATTTACAATTTTTTTACTATCTACATTGCCATTAAAAACCATACTTTCATTTTCATCAACATGTTTGTTAATAGTTATATTATCTATGTTGTTTTTGCTATTATTACTTATATTATTATTATTATTTTTATTACTATTATTATTATTATTATTATTATTATTATTATTATTATTATTATTAATATTACCATTACTATTTATAGTATTTAAATTATTATTAATTTTATTATTTACATTGTTAATTTTATTATTTGATAGATCTACAACTGGATCAATATTATTATTATTATTATTAATTAAAACATTTGGTTGCTGTTGAATTTGTGGTAAAGTTGTTTTGGTGTGATTATTGAATAATAATAATTCAAAGTCATCATCTTCGTTATTAATTAAACTACTTGAGCTATTTAACTTTAGTTTTTTCTTCCTGTAATAGTACCCGTCACCAGAGTCATCTTCATCCTCTTCTAATATGATTTTTTTATTTCCAAAATTCTCTTTATACTGGGATTTCATACACCACATATTTCTAACAGGTGAGCAGAATAATTTTTTGTAAGATGATAAGATACCACTTAAGTTTTTATTTAAGTGTTCTGTAGTTTTACCACTCGTTAATAAAATATCGATATTATGGATAATGAATGTACAGAGATCTTTATTTGAGGCAAATATTTGACCAGTTTTAATTGAAAGATTATAAAGAGTTGTGTGAACAATAACTTTCCATGATTTTGGTAAATGACCAAGAGTTGCTTGTTTAGTTTCGCTGCACTTGGTACATGTATAAATATATTCTTTATCTATATGGCTTGGTAATATTGTATTTGGTGCATCTTTTAATAAATCTTCTGCTGAATTTGGAATTAAGCTTTTACATTTAATACACAATAGTACTGTGTGTGAAATCTTGTATATCATATTGCTATTAACAATTGTTGGTGCTTCTTTTTCATCAAATTCTGCATCTTTTTCCTTTGAATTACCATTTTTTTTTATTATCCTTAAATTATTATTATTGTTATTGTTGTTACTAATATTATTATTATTGTTATTACTATTATTCATATTGTTATCATAGTCAATAAAAGAATATGATTTATTATTAAAGGATGTTGAGACGGTTGGTATTGGTTGTATAGATAGGGGTAATGATGATGTTTTATTTAAATTTGGATTATTATTAATTTCTTCAATTTCTTCACAATCTAATAAAATATTTTTATGAAAATTATTCTTATTTTTATTTATGTTATTATTTATATTATTATTTATATTATTTATACTATGGTTGTTCTTATTACCAATGTTATTATTATTATTATTATTATTATTATTATTATTATTATTATTATTATTATTTCCAACCAATAAGGTTTTTATGAAATTATCATTAGATCTTGATCTTGAACGATTTCTATAACTATTATCATCTATTGGACTTGGTGACCTTGATCTACTTCTTGATCTTTTATTGTTATAATATTCAATATTATTCATTTCTTTTAAAAAAAAAATAAATATAAAAAATATTATATAAATAAAATATTACTATAAGAGTATGAGGAGCGATAACTTTTATAAAATAAAAAATTTTGAAAAATCAAAAAAAAAAAATTATAAAAAAATATTTAAAATAAAAAAAAAACTATTTTTTCGTTTTTTTTTCTTTTTTTTTAAAAGTTAATTTTTTTTAAGAAAAAGTAATTGAATTTTTTGATTTCATTTGCATTCATATAATCTTTTTTTTTATTTTAATTGAAATTTTATTTTATTGGATAAAAAAAATTTTATATAATAAAATTATTTAATTAAATATAATGGTTTTTTTTTTTTTTAAAAGAGATGAAACACTAATCTATCCGTATTTTTTTTTTAATCTCTACCCATGCTCGTTTGAAATAAACTTTGTTATCCATGATACTACCAATACTATTTCCTGTTTGATCTTTTTTTTTTTTTAAATTGATGTTCTGATACATTATATGATGTTATTTCATATGCAAGATCTAATGATTTAACTTCATATGGTTTTAAATCTTCGCTGAACAATAAAGGAGATGGAGCTAAAATATTGAGGGATTTTTTTTTTGAACAAGTTACTGTATCATTTAAATTATTGATAAATGATTTATTTAGTTCCGAATAATTATATAGTTTTTTTATCATAGTGTTTAATAATACTGCACTATTATAATCAATACTATAATTTATTAATATATCATCGATTAAATTATTGATTGCTAATATTTGTATGAATAGGTTTAAAAATTTGACGATTATTTTTTTTTTTTTTTTTAAAAGTGAAGATAATAAAAAGCAAATGCTTTAAATAAATCAGTAAAAACTTTAAATAAATCAGTAAAATGATGATTATTATCTGGTGAGTTTAAAAACTCTGATTGAATAAAAGAAATGTCTCAAGATACCAGCCTTGACCTTCCACCAATCACAATCGCAAAAAATAATTTTTTATCACCGGGAAGATTTTTCTTTTTAAAAAAAAAAGGCCCCAGCGGGGATCGAACCCACGACCTCTTCCTTACTAGGGAAGCGCAATACCACTATGCTATGCGGCCAATTTGTTGAAAATTAAAAATTTGTATTTTATGGCGGCAAATAATTTCCCTATTAAGCGAAACCTAACAGAAAATACCCCAAAAAAAAATCACCAGTAAAAGAAATCATTAACAAGCTTAATGATGAAATTCACAAATTTATGGGGAAACCATCCTCAATAACTAAAAGGCTAGCTGCAGGAAAAGATTAGGGAGTTTAATCTAAAACTCCAGAGCAACCAAAAATAATTAGGGAATAAAATTATTTTAAGTTTGACAAAAAAATAATTTCTAAGTTTCCCCCACTCCCACACCAACCCACTTGACTAATTTTTTCATTTTAAAAACTTAGAAACTTAAAAAAAAAAAAAAAAAACTTAGAATTACATTATTTTTTGTATGAAAAAAATTTAAAATTCTTGTACAATTATATTTAATCATACCATTTTAGAAATATTTGAATAATTATAAATGACAGAGTTTTCGCAATATCTACTCTTGAAATGTTTGCCCATTCCCTTAATAACACACATTGTTCTATTCTTTCCCAACCCAAATTTGATCTGTTATCTGTAACCAACAACTTAGCACCCGAAAATTTTCTTTCAATTTCGACGGACGAAGAAGCAACTGAAAGTACATTTCTTACAATTGAATATTATGTTGGATACTCAATACTATTTTCTTTCTAATATTTTATTGTATCATTTCTATGATCTAAACTTTCTTCTACACATAGTCAAGCTGTTTTGGGTTTTTTGAAATTACTTTTAGTGCATGGGACTAAAGCAAAGGAGGTTTCGTTAGCACTTTGATTGATGTTGTGATCTTGACCACAATTGTAACAAACTTTATTCTTCATTCGGAATGCAATCATGCCATTCTTCATTTCTTTCATTATTTCTTTTTTAAAGTTACTTTTGTTACTATTTAATAGGAGTTGCAAGTATTTTTGGATTTCTTTATACTTTGAAATATATGTATTTGTTTCTTTTTTTTCTTCAATAAGCATTTGAATTAAAGGTTCATCATAGTTGCTCTATACTATCTCTTTGGTAAAGTGATAATCTAGAGTATTTATTGTATTATTTGAAAGATTGTTTTTTTCTTTATATTTTTTTGCTGCTAAACATTTACCATCTATTAAAAATAAGATATTAGTATAATTTTTTAATCAATAAATTAAATAATAATATTTATACTTTACTATTTGTAAAATGATATCTATGTTATAGGGATGTTGATAGCTTTTTGTCTTGATCTTAAATTGAATTTCTTCTGGTAATAGGTCTTTTATTTGTTCCTTCCATTGATATTTAGTTATTAATATTAAAATATATTTATTTTTTATAATTTTAAATTTATTAATTTATATATATATTAATTATTTATTAATTTATTTTTTATTTTTTTAAAATATAATTATTTTTTATATTTTTATATATATTCAAAATTTTTATTTATATCAAAATTTATTAAGTATTTATAGAAAAAAAAATTATATTAAATTTATTTATTTTTAATTTTAAATATTGAGCTTAATTATATAACTGCTTTATTGTAATAAAATATATTTAAAAATCCTCTTAACAATATTTATGTATATTAATAAAAAAAAAAAAAAAAATTTAAAAAAAAATTAAAAAAAAATTTTAAAAAAAAAAAAAAAGGGGGAAACAATAACACATTAATTCACTGGAATGTACAGAGTAAATCGACAAAAAAATCATTCGAGATTGCAATTTCAGTACTAAATCTTAACACTACCCACATAGATATTATGACAGAAACAAATTTAGAAAAAGAGAAAGAAAAGAATATCTTAGGAAACAGAAATAACCATTCAGCACCAGCAGAGGGAAGGG